CAGGACAGTGGGAGGGACCGAGCCCCAGCTTGGGAGCAGCCAGAAGGGCCCAGGGCGTAATTAACCAGGAAGTGGTCCTGCCCCCCCACCGCCCCCCTACACACACACCTTCACTCCATCCCTCGGGCCCTCCTTTCCTCTTTTCTGTCCTCTTGTCACAAGATGTTTATTAAACAACTGCGCAGCAGCCATTCATTGGAGATGGTGGGAGAGAAGTTGGGGATTTTTGAGACGTGATCCTCTTTGGAGGGGGCTCTCTGCGACTATTCGAGGAAGGTTACTGCCCTGGGACTTTCTCCTGACCCCTCAGTAGCTGAGAGAGGGGAATATAAGGGGGTGAGTGTCCAAAAATCCTGACCTAAAATTCAGCTGTCCTGAACTTAGAACCTGCATGAGTTGAAAGGGTTCATCAGGCCCTGGAAAGTTGAGCCTCTGAAAGAGTTTAATACAACTCGCCAAAGCTCCTCTAGACTTCCGGGACCTCTCTTTGGCCCTGGCCAGAGGGAAGTATGGGGTTGGGGGGACACAGCCATTTCTCCTTCCCTCCGCTGAATAACAGGCCAGGCCCTTAAAATTGCCCAGATGGGGGAATTGGATGTGACAAAGGATTAAGGCAACTTCCCTAAGGTGTCAGCGAGCAGAGGTGTGGGAAGGGGTCCAGCTATCCCCCTTCCGCCCAGTGAGGATGGAGCCTTTCAAGGCTCTCCTGTCCCACTCCTCTCACCCCTCACTGTTGTCCAGAAAGATCTCCAGACACTAGTGTTGGACACCAACCAGCACAGGCAGAGAGCCCGTGGGGTCCGTCTCCCGCCCACCCACCGCCTTCTCTCGCTGGAGTTTCCAAATCCCCCGTTTTGTTGGTATCAATTCTTTGGGCCCTGAGCTTGCTCTTCCTGCTTCTGCCCTGGGTGCAGTGGCCTGGACAGACCCGATTCTCCTCTCCCCCGCCTCCTCTCCCTCCTCTCCTCCGGTTGGGTTTAGGGGCAGGCTGGGGCTGATTTCCTCCGCATTCTCCCACTCTGGGCCCTTATAAAATAGGCCGCCCCCCCCCCATTATTTTAACACAAGCGGGGCCATGCTAATGTGAGGTTTTATCATGTTGGCCATGGCCCTCTCTGCTGTGCAGCAGGCTGCAGATTACCTCTGCACACACACACACACACACACACACCCTCCCGCCAGCTTTTCTCTCCAAATGAAGCCATCTCGTGTCATTACATGTGAAATACGAGGGCAAAGCGCCATATTTCTTCACATTATGGCGATTTCAAAATGATTTTTTAAAGATCAATGCGGGCACCCAGCCGCCCCCTCCCCTCCTCTCCCACCCCAGCTCTCCGAGGGTGACAGGCAGGCATATCCGAAACCAAACAGCAGGAAGATCTGCTTTCTCCAGGGGACCCAAGTGCGGCGGAGACAAAAAAAATAAACCCCGATGCCAATCCTAAGTAGCGCCGGACACTTGGGAAAGTCCAGAGAGCTACCTGGACTCGCCAGCCGGAAGCTGGGCGCTGAGTGGATGAGTCACAGTTAAGGCGCAGCACCTGTTCTGAATTTGCCAGCTGCATGGAGTCCGCTGTTGGCTTTACCTGTAATAAACATACTCTTCAGGGAAAAGTCTCTCCCGCCGTAAATAATCGTGCTCTGAAGCAGGGCGGGCTGCGGACATGGCTTCTGTGGCATATAAATTAGGGTCCAAAGGAGGTTCGGACTGTGGGCAGAGACTTTATTTATTTATGGGAAAGTCACGGCACTGGGTTGTTCTTAAGACTCAGGCTGTGCCGGCGCTGAGCTCGCCTGCCGCCCTCCTGGCCGCCCTTCCCACTCTGGCTGTGCTGCAGGAGAGAAGTCCAGAGGGCCACTGAGTTGAGGGAAGAAGTTGGAGGAAGAAGAGCGTTTGGGCTCATGGGTTGTGCCCTCCCAGGGTGGAGGGTCCCAGCAGGCAGGGTCTAGGCTTCGGGCTGCTGTCTGTCTGAGGAGCTGCCCCTCATCTGGGTGGTTCCAGGGTGCTGACCAAGGGGACCCAGACCTCTTTTCTGCCCCCAGAACTCAGCCTGCGCTCACACAGAAGCTGGAGAATGGGAACGATGTCAAAATGACAGGCTTTGAGGGTCTCCATCTCCTCAGAGAGGGGACCCTGAAAGGAAAAGAATAAACTGGCCCCTCAGCTCATGTCCCTCCAGGTGGGGACTCGGGTGCAACCAAGCAATGAGCCCCACCCAGGCGGGCTTTCTAGAAAACACTGTTGCTCCGAATTGAAACTCAACTCCAGTTCAGACAAATGAAGAAAGGGTTGGCTGAGAGGGAGCCCCTGGTTTGGGTGTTCTGAAGGCCTCCCCCCCCCAAAAAAAACCCCACAAAACCCTTATTTTCTCTCGCAGACAATGCTACCTACCCTGACCGAGGGAGGCAAACAAGATTTCAGCCAGTGATGCCGTTTCTAAAGATGCCTAATAGAGGGGTTCCTTGAGTGAGGGTCACCTTGTCCTGAGAGAGCAAACTGTACCCCACCCCACCCCCAATCCTAAAGAGAAAGAAGGGAAACCCTGCTTTCCCTCGAAGCCTCTTGCCATTCCCTGCACAGGAGCGCGCCTGAAAACAGCTGGGCTGGTGTCTGGTGGCTCGGGGAAGAGCAGGCAGGGACAAGCTGCAGCCCTGCTCACACTGGGGCCCTGAGCGCACAGGAGTGAGGCCGAGGTGGGGAGCGCAGAGGCCAAGCCTGGCCTGAACCAGCTGGTGAGTGCCTAGCTTGAGGGGTGGCTTTTAGAAGGGTCCTTGTCAGTAAGAGAAAATTTTAAACAAAGGGGGAAATAAACCAAAAGAAGAAGAAGAAGAAGAAAGTAAAAACAAAAATAATAAAGGGGAAAGATTGTTTTTAATCGATAAGCTAAGCTGAAATTTATGCATGCTGTGTTTGAATAGATGTGTCTATCCTGTATGTATATTTCAAATCAATATTGAACCTAGTGTGTAAATATACTGTACTCCATGCTGCATATAGAATAGGTAATAAGTAAAATCTGCCCAACCATAATACCTGATTGCTTAAGCATTTGTATGTAAGATCTAGTGGTATATATGTGGATGTGTGAATAACTCCTGTGATGTAGATTTACAGCTCTACTCATATAAGAAGATCTATGATCCAAACGCTTTTGTGGACGTTTTTGTAACCATCACACCCCTATGAAAAGGGCAAAAACTTGAGTATTTGTGTCCTTGAATTGTAGCTATAAAACATTAGTGGGTTCGGAAGCTGCCATTGAAAATCTGCCTGTTGACTTGATATTCAAGCCAAGTAGATACCGTCCGTATTCTCCAACAAATGCATGTGGCTTAAAGCTGGATTCTTTTACAACTTCCTTCTAAAATATTTCTCTGGAAGGTGAAGGAAATGCCTCAAATTGGTTCAGGGAGGTCATGGAATTTTGTGACTTTTTTGTCCGACCATGAAATCCTTTACTGCGTATCTTTCCCAAAGCTGCGGGGGCAGCGTGCGTCGTGTGATCCTTATTTCATGGTGGTGATGGGCACCAGATGAAGACACCATTAGTTGTGCATGAGCGTGTTCCACACAAGTGTGCCTCTGACCAGTAGAGAGAGCTGAGTCTAATGGGAAAGCTCTCAGTAACTGTGGAGGTCACACGAAAGCACTGCTGTGCACAACGAAATCAGCAAAGTCCCCGAGTCTCTGTCCCCAAGCACCCTGAGATCTTTCTTCTGACCCAGAATCGGAGTCCAGGCCCCTCTGGGAAAGGAGGTGTGGAGACACTTGCTCCAGGGGGAGAAGTCAGGGACCCCAGAACCCACACCCTTTCCACAAAACGGCCTCCAAAATGAATCGCATGGAGTCTGCACACATGAGTTCAAACCTCAGCACTTCCACGCCCGGCGAGTGGGGATTTTCACTGTAAAGCAACGAAATCTTCTGCTCAACCTCCCTCCCCAAGCGCCAGAGGTGAAAGGAAGGACTGAGAGGTCAGCGGCCCAGGCAGATCCCTGGAATCTCCTCTTCCCAACTCTCAGCCATCAGGGATCTGGAAGGTGGTGGGGGTGGCTGACTCTTTGGGAGGGAGCATCCAGGAGGCCAAACGGGGTGGGCAGCAGGCGGGACAGAAAGGAGCTGAGCAGGTAGAAGGTTATTACGAAATTGCTTCCATAAAACCTGTGGCTGTTGTAAAACTCTCTGCTTTCCAAAGACTTTATTTCCTCCTTTCTCTCTAACATCCCCCCTTTTTTTCTTTTTTACAGCACTGTTCCTGGGAGGGGGTGGCCAAGGGACGCCAGGGATGGAAGACAGTGAGGCTCCGAGTGGCTGGGCAGGTTTGTGAGAGCCCCAGGGAGAAGCAAGGTAAGGCAACAGGACACTCCAGACATTCTTCACCCAGACCGAGGACAAGAAAGTGTCAGGGGGCAGTAGAGTGGGCCTTTGCTCACCAGGACAGCGGGTTGAAGACTGCCTTTCCTCTGGGTGGGGGGTGGGTCTCCCGAGGGCCCCTCCACCCTAGCAGAGGCCTGTTGTTCAGAGACCCCCTCCTTTGCCATCCAAGTCAGCCTGGCGCCGCCAGAGCCCCATCCGGTTGGGCCCCTTTCTACATTTCCTCTGCCTCAAGGGGGAGGGGGGCAGTTTGGGAACAAAAGTTAGCTTATGCTTTGGACTGTCCCACGCCTTCCGCCAGCACTTCTAGTTATTCCTTCCCTGGGCAGAGAGCCAGGAGCCTGGAGAGGGCTGGGGTCAAAGAGGGTATCACAGCTTTGCCCCTGCCCCACCCCCTGCTCCATCACCGGTCACGCTATCCGTCTGCCCAAGACTGAGCTCCGCACTAGCCTACAAGTCAGACTCCTGTCCCAGGAGTTGGCCCTCAAGACCTAGGTAAACCTGCAGCCCAGACCAAGGGTCTATGAGCAAGCCTTGGCCTCTCCGTAGGGCAGGAGCCAACTGTGGGATTGAGAAATTACTTTTTTTTTTTTTAACCCACCGCTGTCCCACTAGGGGGCTCTAGGAAGGAGCTTGGAGGCCCAGAGGCTGACATTGCAAAGGAACCTGATGTTTCCCTGTCTTCCGGGCTATACTGAGCCCTCTTCAAGGACCTAAAGCTGCCTGGAGCCCTGCCTCTCAAGGGGTTACAAAAACCTCAGTGACTCCCTGTGTCTCTTGACAGCTAGATTTGCCAAGTTGGGGAAACTTTTATTGGAAAATCTGAAGGCAGACAGGAGCCCAAGACCCCAAGGAAGGAAGCTCAAAGCCCCAACTACCATCCTTGGGCTCTGCAGAACAGCTCAGCAATGTGCCCTTTGGAGAGTGGAGTGCCCCCCGTTCCTCCTTTCCCTCCCCATACACATTTTAAAAATGCAGACGTGGGGAGACACTCTAGAACTCCCGAGATCTCTTCTCTGTGGAACACCCCGGCTGCTCCGGGTTGAGGGACCTCAGGCCGCTTCACTGTTTTGCATAGTCCTGACTCTGCCTCCCTCCCCACGCCCCTACTCCTCCAGCTAAGCGAGGAGCAGTAACTGCCGTGAGTCGGGTGGTTTAATGTCGTTGTGTTCAGAAATCCAGGCCCAACAACATGAAACTACCTAATTCACTCAGCAGTTCCAGTTCAGGTTCCGGGGGTCAAGGGCTCACTGGGGGGCAGGGCCCTGCAGCCATTTTGTGGGCCAAACCGGCTGGCCGGCTAACTTCATTCATTTTCCTCCACCTCTTCCCTCACAGAACACAGTTGCCATTCAACAACACATCCAAAGAACTGGAGGCAGGGCTCCAGGCAAAACCATTCTGGAGCTCGCTTGTCCTGGCCGCTCAGATTCCAGGCACTTTTGCTGTCTTGCAGGAGCCCTGGCCGGAGGGGCCCTGGGCCCAACCCCAGACCTGGACAGGGCCTCCTGGATGGGTTGATATGCCCGCGTGGTTTATCAACCCCTGTGTGTGCAGCCGGAGGTCTCCACAGATAAAAAGACTTCTCAACGTCAAACTGTTACCAAGGTGAGGCTATATTCTAGGGTCGTCCAGGGTAGCTCTGAGAAGCCAAATCCTCAAGCCCGACACCAAACCCCAGTTTGCAGGCTGGGACACAGACAGGAGAGTGGAGAGAAGTGATGGTGGGCGAGAGTGCGAGAAAGTTATCAGGAAGACTAGGGAGCAGACGGAGGAACGGACTGGAAGGGAAGGCCGGCTGACCTGAACAGCCGCTGGGAAGTCTCGCTGCTGGAAGGTCCCGCAGAGGCGGAGCTGTCCCAGGTAAGACAATCTATTCCGAATTCACAAATGAAACCGGGAGGGAGGCTGCGAACTCGGAGAACAGATTTGCTTCTTTCTTCCCGACCTTCAGCCTGGGCCCTTGGCTTCCAGGCCCCCACTGATGCCCGCTACCGCCACCTCTGCCTCTCCAGACACCCGCGTCCTCACAGGTGCTCCCGCACACTCCACACGCGGGCGGCCG